TTAAAAGGGAGTTTTTCCTTCCCACTCTCGCCAAAGTGCTGCTCATAGGGGGTCATATGATTGTTGGGTTTTTCTCTGTATCTATGAAGCGCCTTGAGGCAACTTTTGTTGTGATTTGGCGCTATATAAATAAAATTGAATTGAACACTCTTAAGCCACACACTTGAACACACACCATATAACGGTAAGAGACTATTACCAGTATCCTGCGTTAGCCTGTTCATGGGTCGCTACCCGAATGACCTCTCAAGGATGTTTATTTGAGAAGCAATGTCCTTTCTATCCAATCAAGCACTGTACATAAACTCAAAGACCTTAAACAACAAACCACACAATTCATCAACAACAGGGATCAAAGGACTCCGACTGCACTAAAGCATCATCTGTTCAGCAATTATTGATTACACACCCAACACGCCTCTACTAATCTTTACCCACAAGACTGTACAAGATCCAATAGTGCTCCGCTGTCGAGGTAAATGAGCAAATTTGTTGTGATGGTCAGCTAGTCCCCCCCTGAGAAGATAGCAGAGACACAATCTAAAAGAACGTAATGTTTTTCCCCACGTTGCGTGGAGATACGGAGGTGGGATTTACACAGGCACCAACAGTCAGACTTTTGTTTTATCTCTTTGGCACCCAGATCACATATACTTCCTGGCAATGAAAGAAAATGTGTGGAAACACTTGAAATCAATCGGTGTGAAATAGCATTTGAAATCAAATGTTCTGTCCTTTTATAATTTCTACCTGAAGACTAATAGCATCATTCTCTCTAGCAAACTAAGCACTTGCAAATGAATGTTCCAAATCCTTTTAGCTTAGTTGTCTGGCTGAGACCTCAAATTTCTCAATAACCTCCTACTTCAGTTAAATAACTCAGAGGACTGGCTGAATGAATGTGTTTTGTGAAACTACTGTCTTGTTCCACTTCATAATGCCTTTGTAAAACCTGAAGGATTTTATACTGTAGCAGCATAGTTAGTTATCACCTGGACTGTCCAAGCCATGTGCTTGTTCCATCAATCAATCAAGCTCATATTCATTATATTTCCTCATGTAAAATCTACAATAAGCACGATCAGGATGTTTTCTTAATGTTGGTGTTGTCGATCACAAGCGCTCAAAGATAGCATCGAAAAAGCCAGTAGGCAGACATCATGCTTACACACACCCAGGAGAGAGTACTGAATATAAAGAGAAAGAGCTTGGTGTCATGCCAGATGTGTAACAGGTTGGCAAGTGATGAGACAACAACGTATTTTTTGTTTTAGTTCAGCTTGGTTGAGGCCGATATAAGGATACTGTGCCAAATCCTAACTTGAGGAAACCAGACTTCACCAATATTCCTAAACCTCCGCAAAACTCCTAACCTGTCAATTTCCTTCAAGTCATGTCTATTTAATTATTTATAGGTGGCTTTGATGTAATATGTCATGACTTTTAAGGTAGGCTACCTCCCCTCTGACTCTCTGAGTGAAGTGGTAGTTTTGGCTGTGGTCCTTCAGTACTCCCTGGCCTCTTCGAGTTCATTCATGAACACGTCCTCGTGGGGGTTTTCTGGGCAACTCAGTCCATTGTTGGGTGGTCGCACCGCATGGAAGCGACTCCAGTCTCCCTTGCACAGAATCCAAGGCAGCACATCCACTTTGAAGTGCAGCTCGGGCGAAAACTCGGTGCTAATCAGGTTCGGCGTGCCTGCGCCTTTTCCTCGCGTGATCAGCCTCCCGCGGTCGTCGTAACAACAGTGCTGTGCCGCAAGGGTAGTCGAGTCGCTGGACAGTGCCGAGCGGATGCAGCTGCGCGCCGAAGGCTTGTAGATGTCCAGGCGCTCCTTGGGGCCGCTGGCGTCGTGCCAGCGGAACGGCCGTCCGTGAGCGTCATCGTAGACACTGACCACGGCGTACGCGGCTTCGAAAGGGTATGAGCAGGGGCAGTTGGGCAGCTCAGACAAAACCTGATGGAGGTACCTCTGCAGGAACTCACTCTTACAATTGAGCCATTTCTCACAGCTGTCTACATCTGTTGGAAAGAAGACAGCAACACCGCATTAGTCTCTGCCACTGCTGAGAGCATGAACAGATGAAGGGACACCGTGGAGTCAAGTCTGAATCCTATACTTGCATCTGTATACATCTGCATTACACTACTGAGTAAGCCCAATCTAGATCCAGTTCCAGTTTATATCTGATTGAGAAACCTTTTTTACGGTTATGGAAAACTTCCCGAATAAACACTCACCTGTTCCAAAAGGCTC